TATGATTTTTTGACGGGGGCTGGGACACTGAGTATTGAGGTGGCTTTCTTATCTAGGGCTGTCTGGTTATTAAATAGTTTGTTTAGGGCAGTATCATTTATTACCTGATTATTTTTTATTAGAGGTTTATCACCTTTTTCCCCTCTTAATATAAAAAAAAATTAGGTTCTTATATATAATTTTAACTTTTTTTACCCCTTCCCCCCTAAAAAATCACCTGATTTTTGTCATATCCTTTACATAAAATTTTATATAATTAGCTAATTATTTTTAGTGATATCTTAGCAACTACTAAACTATTTTTGATGTTCTTATCACCGTTAGATGTGCCTTGATGAGCTCTACAATTTTCACTTAATATAGAAGAGCGATTACCTTAGTAAGAAAAAAGTTTTCTTTAGACAAATACCACATTTGGAGTATAGGTAATTTACATAGTAATCTGTATCATGTTATATTATGATCATGCACTAGATAACTGGTGAATCACTAATTAATATAAAATTAAAAAAGATACCTTTAAAATAGACTGAAATATCATAAATCTATAGTATATAATTGCATGTATTATATGATTTTGTATATATATATGTATATATATATTTAAAAAAATTGTGATCTATACTAAATTAATAAATCTTAAGCCTAATATTAACTTTAAAATTAATAATTTAAAATCATTATATTTACTGTTTTTAGTCAAAATAATATAACTTTATTATATTTACTATTTTTGTTATATATACTATAATTGTATATTAATTTTTTAGACCAGAAAACTGAAAAAAGAAAATATTAATACATAACTATATTCTATATTAAACAATTTATTTTTTTAACATATATAATCAAATATGTTAGTAAATTTTAGTAAAATTTTATAAGTATTATTTTAAAAATTTATATGATTATAAGCAAATATGACTATAAAGAAGATAACTATAGAAAGGCTTAACAGAGAGATCTAACTATATATATTTTGAGTCAATTATATCAAAATTACCAATTTAATTAAATCTACTAAAAAATCATTTAGTTAATTTTTATCAGGTATCTTAAAGTTTAAAATAATAGCTATAGAAGAATTGAATTGTAACTTTTTCAATTAATCTAGGTTTTAGTTTAATTTCTATTCAGATAATTAATAGTATATCTATTGAGTAACCTAATAGATAATTTTTGTACTTGACAGTTTGTATTTAGTTGATTTATAATGATGATTTTTTTGACAAGTTCAAATACTAAAATAAAAATTTTGGTTTAAAAATTATAAATTGTATAAGCTTAAAATTATTAGTAAATATAGTCAATTCTTTTTAAATTTAACTTTAAATTTTGATCTAAGCATATACTTAGTTCTTATAAATACAATATTTTTAATTGTTCTCTAAATACAAGCTACCAAAAGTTTGGTCTCAATAAATTATACTTAGAGAGAACTAACTATATAATAAATTTAAATGATTATTTATATTATAATTATAATAATAGTAAAATTGACTAATAAAATTTTTGTTATATTATAAAGAGTTGTTTTTTGTGACAGATTAAAATAAATTAGATTAAAATAAAATTTTTCTAATTTTTAAGAAAATTTAAAATTTTTTTAGAAAATATTTTTTTGAGATTTTTTTTAGTATTAGGGGTTAGGTTCAGGGTTAAGATTATTAATAAATAAGTATATATAGATTTTATAAACTTTAAAGGTAAGCAAAAAAGTTTGCAATTTTATTTTAAACTGATTTTATCTTAATTTATAACTTAATTTTTTGTTATAAATAATTTTTAACAGAATAAACATATATTTTGAATCTTTCTGATCATGTTGTATTATATTTAACATTGAAATCTGTTTGTTAATATTCATTTTTTGCTATCAAAAATAACAAATATATAATTATTTATTAATGCTACTCAATAATTAAATCTATTATATTATTAAATATCCAAAGTATACTATTCAATTCATTTAATAGGTAAATCGCAAGTCACCTAAACAAATATTTTTTTTTATATGTAAATTTTACTATAAGCCTGAATGTGCAATGCTTCTATCTAAAACTTTTTTTACTAAGTAAATCACTCTTAGGCTTGTAACAAAAGTTGTAAAGCTCATCAAGATGTATTTAATAGTAGTAAGAATATTAAAATCGGCCTGGTGGTTCTTGAAAAATCTTTAAAAAATTTTGTTCTTACATATAAAATTTCTTTAAAAAAAATTGATTTTTTTTAAAGAAATTTTATATATGAAAAAGAATTTTTTTTAAAGATTTTTCAAGAACCACCAGGCCGATTTTAACATTCTTACTATTATTAAATGCATCTTGATGAGCTTTACAACTTTTGTTACAAGCTCAAGAGTGATTTACTTAATAAAAAAAAGTTTTAGATAGAAATGCTGCATATTCAGACTTATACTGTAGTAAAATTTACATATAAAAAAAAATATATTTGTTTAGATGACTCACGATTTGCCTATTAATTTTCTATATATATTACTTAAACTATTTGTTAACTACTATATGGAGTCTTGCCTTGAAACTCACAATCATGATATTTCTGATTGGGTTAATTCAGACAAAAATAAACCCAACTACTGGTTTATATTTATATGAAAATCATCTTTTATTTTTATTAATTCAATAGTTATTTGATAAACTATTAAATCAATAAAGTTAATATACATTGACAAAAAATCAACAGTTCGAAAAACTAAACTAAGTGCCAAGCCACCCAACCGTATATACGTATGTACGCACACATACATACATACGTATGTACGCACACATACATACATATGTATGAATGCACATAATCGTACTACTCATCAGTCTTAAGCCACAGTTCGGGTCACAATAATCGGTACATGTCACCCAAATCAGACTATAAATATGCCTCCTCTACCTTACTCTAACTCAAAAAAGTTTAATGCGAAGAATTTTTTCTGCAAAATTTTCTGTGATAATGAATAGGCCCACTAATTCAACATCCCAAGGACTTTTGGTTATCCAAGGCGTTTCTGTCTCCAAGAATACAAACCTAACCCTAAATCAATTAATATTGAAGCAAACACAAAGGTGTATATCGATGCTGCATACCAAGCGTCATCAAACGCCATCATCAGTACTATTAAGAAATATATCAACCAAACAATGTCTGCTCACATGGATTTGATTAATAAGCTCAACGAACATATTGAAACATCCCTTAACCAGCAGAAACAAAATTCGCAACAGCTTACACCGACCAGAATTTACAAGACAGTATCGTGACATATAATCATATGTTTAATATAACCAGCCTCCAACATAATGATAAGACTTGTGATAGTAATTTTGAACAACAAGATGCGTCTAAACCGCAGCTTAAACATCCAATTAAGTATGCTGCACAATTCAAATTATCACACTCAATCACAACAGACAGGCTTCCATCACTTCAGTCAGTTAATGAGACCTTAACAGCTAGGCCTTCCCCAGTAATTCTGCTGGATCAGACAGAATTAAGGCTGCTGGCACAGTTGGACCCACAATACTTCAACATACAAACCCCAATCAATGTTCTCGCTTTCCAACATCTTACAAAGTCCCACCCGAACCGGCCGTTTATCAACTACTTGACAAACGGAATAAAAAATAGCTTCAGGTTTAATTACAGGGGACCCTGAGAAAAAGTAATTCAGGAGAATCTGCAATTAATTGACACGAATCCACAGGCTTTCCTTGCATATATCAAGAATGAACTGGCACTTGGACGTATTTGCAGTTTCTTCAGTGGAGAAAACCCCTTGCGACCTTTTTCAGATCAAACCGTGCGGGTTAGTAGAGAAAAAGGACACAGACCCCAAGGCATACCAAGTCATCTCCCATCTCTCATCCCCGCCAGAGAACAGTGTAAATAACAGAATCGACAAAGCAGAATTTGCAACAAAATATGAGACAATAACTCACGCAATCCAATGGATCAATTTTTTCAGAAAAGGTTGCACACTGTCAAAAATAGACATTAAGGATGCCTATCGCATTCTTCCAGTTCACCCAATAGACCAAATATTGCAAGGCATCCATTAGGGAACAAAATATACTTTGATAAGGCTCTTGCTTTCGGAAACCGTGCCTCCGGCGGCATATTCTGCCGATTCGCTGACACCATTGCTTGGGTCGCTTCTCGACTAGGAATCCCAGCCATAATCCACTATGTGGATGATTTTCTTATTATCACACCCTCAGATGGTGCCCAAGAGCTAAAACAGTTCATACGAATCCTCGACACTATGAACATACCATATAAGGACACAAAGAGGAAGGCCTTTGCATGATGGTTACCTTTCTAGGTATCACATTAGACACGGTTGCCAGGACTGCATCAATCCCTCTTCAAAAATGGGACAAGCTAGTACTCTTACTGAACCAGTGGCTACTCAAAAAATGGTGTCGTCTGAAGGAACTCCAATCTCTGGTAGGATCTCTCGTTTGGGTATGCCAGGTAATCCCGCAAGGACGACCTTTTGTACAATGATTCATAAGAGCTCAGGACCTCTCCAACAGCCTCAGACATCATATTCGGATGACAGGGCCCATGAAATCAGACATTCAATGGTGGCTAGCCACATTACATTCATGGCCAGGCATCTAATTATTTCAAGACCACAATTTGTACCAACCTCACACACTCAATTTATATACGGATGCATCAAATATAGGCGGCAGGGCAACATACGATGACTATTTCACGGCATTCAACTGGGACAAATCTATAGACCTCACAAGGATAAATATCCAAGTACGAGAGCTACTAACTACCCTAGTTGCAGTATGCATATTTGCGCTCATGTGGGAAAGAAAGAGACTAATTATATGGACAGACAATGCAGTTAACGCTGAGGCGTATTACTCAGGATATTGTAAAAACCCAGACGTTAATGAAATAATCGCCGACATGTACAAAGCACAAGTATCTGGAAATTTCACTATAAAGCTTGAGCACATACCAGGATCAATGAATACCGCCACTAATTTACTCTCCCGCAATGGACATAGAGAGTTTATTTTTAATAACCCCCTATCCCGCTATCTTCAACCTAACATCCCGACAACCTTCTCCAACCTAATCTCCATCATCCCTTCTCTCAAACAATAGGCACCTCCTATAGAATGCTCCCCAAGACAATCACTTCAATCACCAACACCCAAAACACAAACCTATTTAATAACCAGACAGCCCTAGATAAGAAAGCCACCTCAATACTCAGTGTCCCAGCCCCCGTCAAAAAATCATA